ATTTATAAATGAATAATTAGCCATCTATCCTCAATAAAAGATGGAAACACCAGAATAATTGTTTGAAACTATAAAGGGCACAAACTTTTTAAACGTTTTGTATCGGATACTGATTTATTAAATAGGTTAAAATAGCAAACGTATTAATAACAAATGTCCCGATATAAAATTGTGTATGAATTTTTAGTTCAAAAATATCTTCTTTACGGCCTACGTTTCATTGTTTATTGAACGAGATGCCCAAAATAATGTTGATAAGTATGTTAACTTACTACAAATTTCTTTGTAAATAACCATTTGTTATATTTGAAATTATTGTTTTCCAAATTTCGCCCCGGAGGTAGGGGTATTTGTGACAAAATTTTGCCCCAACCCACGGGCATTAGTGTCCTTTTGTCAAGACTGTTTTGTCAAATCCCCGGGGTGGCCCGGGGGTCGACCCCCCGGGAAAGCCGCTGATACCTGCATTATAATCGCCGATCACATGGCTTTATCACAGTCTCAAACCTTCAGACAAACATATCCACATTCCTCTTCCCCCCCCCCCCCTTCGGACATCCTAAGACATTTTTCCTCCCCCCCCCTTCGGACAGCAAAAATTTCCTCCGGGGGGGGGGGGGGGTATGGATCTTTTCTGAAACGACCCATTATGGAAAAAAATGGCAAAATTCAAGGCGATATTGGGCGATCTTGAGCGATCTTAGGCGAAATTATGCTATCTTAAGGTATATTTGGGTTTATACTATAATAGTTATATAATACATGTGAAGCAAAATAATGTGTATACAAAAAATGTTGTCATTTAGAGTGCAATGGGCTATTCCAATTATTATCCGTACCCCCCCTGTTGAGGAATCCCTTTCTCATGTCGGTACTCCCCTGAAATTTCCGCAAATTTTCATGTAAAATTTACTCCTTCCCATGGAATTTCCTTGTAAAAATTACCCTTGCCCATGGAATTTCCATTTTAAATTAGGCCTTCCCCATCGAATTTCCATTTAAAATTTAGCCCTTTCCATGGAATTTCCATGTATAAATTACCTTTCCCTATCGAATTTCCATCATGGGACATTTACTCCCGGAAATTTCCCTCTAACATATGTCCTCCCATGGAATTTCCATCCCATGAAATTTACCCCTCCCTCTGGAATTTCCATGTGAGAATTACTCCTCCCCTTGGAATTCCAGATCCTGAATGCCCCCTTCCCAGGAAATTCCAAGGTTAATCCACCCCCTCCCGTGGAAATTCCAAGCTTAATGTACCCCCTCCCCTGGAAATTTAAAGTTAATGCACCTCTCCCCTGGAGGTTCCAAGGTTAATGCACACTTCCTAGCACCAAGACCTTGGAGACAGACATTTATATAATTAAGATATTATCTGTCTATATAAACAACACCTTACATACTTACCTTGTTTATTAGTTAATTCAATCCTGAATCTTTGATAACACATACTTTATATAAACAGCCTTCAATATAAATCATTCCTTTATGATCCAGGCTCGTTGAGCCTTGATATAAACAGCATTGTTTCTACAATTCGACGTTGTTTGTCGAACAAAGTTGCATCAACCAGATCAATTTTTACCTATGTACCGTACGTTACACAAAGTACGATTACAAGGCGATTGTAAGCAACAAAACAAAGTCCAAAGGTTTACATCTTGAAAAGTTCATATTTAATATTATCCCCGAGCCGACGGCGCGAAGCGCCGTGCGAGGGTACTAATTCCCCCCGGCTATTTACGCCCGGGGAAACGAAAGCATTAGCGAAGTCTAAAGTTCATCAATGAGCGCGGGCGTCGGTCACCAACGATGGGTGACCAACGACTGATCTCAAAAATTTGGCGGACTGTCATGAATAACGGACACTGATTGGTCCAATTTAAAGTTTGCATTATAACGACTGCATGACGACAGCAAAATAGCAAACATTTCTTGATTTGATGATTGATAAATTTCTTGCAAATATATTTCATTTTTGCTCGTATTTCTGCAAGATTTTATAAATTTCAAGAAAGAAAAGGCGAAAGAATCGGCTAAAAGAAGGGAGCCGACGTTAACGAAGGTAACTTTGTTTTAAATATTGATTTTATAATGGCTTTAAAACCCGACGGCTTTTGCGTATATGAAACAACTAAACAAGACAGCATATAATTTCAGTGTATCTTTAATATTGATTCCCTTTTTTATTATATTGAATTTTTTAAATAAAAAATAAGCAAAGTTATTTGCAAGCGAGAATTTGAAATCATTTTATTGCGAACTCAAAGTTTATCGATAAAGCCATTTAATAGCTAAAGGTAGTTTAGTTTTATAAAGAACACTTTGGAACGTTTTGCGAATTGTTTGTGGTTGAATTTTACCTTAAATTGAAGCTTGTATTACGTATAATTACATATCTAACATATATATGTTGGAAAATTGGTAATTTTGTAATTAAAAGTGATATTTTTAGGCGACTTTCATTTGTGAGAATGTTCTTAAAAAATTATCGTGTTACCATGACAACTACTTTAGATACTTCATGTTCGGAAAATACAATGGTTTTGTCAGCAAGGCGAGGGTTTCTGCATGCATGTATTTTCTAGTATAAAACTACAAGACACGTGAAGTTGCGTCAGTTGTGAATTTACATTTTATTATAATACTTCATGTATGCCTATTATAATGTTCTTAGGAAGGGTAAGTTGGGGAGGCGTAATTAGAATAAACTACGTACTATTCATTCTTTCCAAAAAAGGTGAATAAAGCATTTCTGACAAAATAGTTGTGCATATAATTTAATATTGCAGACGTAACGCTGGCGCTATTTTTTACAAATTTCCGCAGGGCCTCGCTAGATTGTGCGTGACTTTTCCAGGGTGCAGCGAGAGCAGCGTTGGTACGATCAATGACAGCTCAGTGATCCGAATGCTGATGTCTAACATGAAGTATTTCGATACGCATTGTCGCATCGCTTGTTCAAATTTAATAATCACCGCTAATAAAAGTCTATAAAATGTATTAAAGATGTCTCATGTGTTCAAAATTTTCCTCCGTTATAAAGATGTCATGCAAAGAGATATCATGATTGAACCATCTGTACTGTAAGGTATATACACGTAATAAAGTAAATAATTTTTCTTTTGTTAATTATACTGAAGGGGTTGGTCAAGTTTGTACTGTATGTAAACAAAGGGTTCGTTTACATTTTGGAGGTGCTATATAAATTTATGCATGCTAATTAATTTTCATGCAATGTGTCCGCTATTTGGCAAAAATTTAATCATATAATTAGATGTGAAACTAGTCCTATCTAACATTCATAACATGGTGTCACAAATCACAATAGCTATAGTGCAGATGTATCCAGTATTGGGCTATTCCATTTAATATCCGTACCCCCCCCTGTCGAGAGTAGTATAGGAAGTAGCGGTTCTAGACCACTTTTTCAGCCCGCGATCCCACCCCACTTCCGGTCAGCGGTTTCCCGAATTTTCCCCAAAAAACGCGGGCTCATTTTTCTAGACCATTTTTTTCTAGACCATTTTTCCGTGGTCTTTTTACCTCATTTTTTTATCTATTATTTATCAGAATTATTTAACAATTTATTTTTCTATTGAGTGGTGTCCGTACGCGTAACTTGTAACACCATCTTCAAGTAAGTACCGTTTATCATCGAAACAGCTGAGTGTGATTTTCTTCAGTTCGTAAGTTCCGATTTTATGTTTGATGCTTCGGATTGTGTTCATCTTATGTCTCATCAAACCTCTCGTCTTAATTACGTTCTTGAAGTTTTCATGAGTGAGTTTGTTTCTAATCACATACTTTTTCACTCCTTTCGCGGTCATTCCACCTCCACCACTTTCCTTCACGTAGGAGTACATCTTCGACCTCAACCCAACGAATTCAATCACTGGTACTCCCGCAGCTTCATCCTTAAACTTACCAATCACCTTCTTATTATGAGCTGAGTAGTATGGGGAATCTTTCGGATAGTCTGAGTTGTCCCAGCAGTCTTTCTCCTCACCGATCCTCCTGAAGTCCTCATACACATCATCAGTCTTTATTTCATACATCAGACTGTCAGTATCTGTGAACAGTAGCTTTGACCTGTCACCGTACTCCTTCTTAATTGTATTATAATGGAAGTCGTACATAAGAGTCTTTGATAAGTCTAAGATGCTCATTCCAACGTAGCACGGTTTGTTTAGAGTTAGAACTTCCTTCGTTCGCTTTACAACTATTAAGTTTTCATTCATAATTCTATGCGACTGGAAGCACGGCGACGCTGTAAGTTTTAGGAGGTCATTTTCCGATGACACTAATTTCACGTCAACTCTCTTCCTTAGATTCTCCATGGTCTTTCCGTAGATCGAGTTGTTCATTAATTTGAAGAAGTTCTTTTCAAAAGTATTACGTGCAACTGACCGTTTCTTCGTATTGAAGTCGATATAGTTCTTAAGCCAAGGGGACTGTTTGAATGAGACGGCTCTATGGACCTTTGTAAGTTTCATTCCGAGTTCCGTGTAGAGTTTCAGATTGCGGGCGTGTAAGACGTAGTTTTTCCTGGGACCTAGGGAGTTCACCAGTTTTCTTACTCCTCCAATTGTCAGCTGGAATTTATCAGCAATATCCTTCGCGTAGTCTGACAACATTGAGGCACCAATCTCCTTGCTCTCCGGTGCTAGCGGATAACCGTTGTGTAGATTATGAAGTTCCTTTGGGTATTCCATGTCAACCTCTAAAACCATACCCCTTCCGTTGTCTCCAAGGTAATCATCTAAGTTTGCCACATCGAAATCCTCGATCCACTCAAACTCACCATTAGGCAGCGGCTGCGACATCGCCCAACCATATAAATTGTTGGCATCGAGGTACATAAGGAACTTGTTTTCGAGATCTTCGTCGTACGTTTCCATGTACTTATTATTTGCTGTAGAGTGTCTATGGGCAATGTGACTTATGCCGCCTCTCATTCCCTTCTCAAAGAACTGGAACATGTCCATATCACTTACCAATTCTATCTCCTCACCTGACTGTTTCAGGAAGGCGTCCCAACTTAGACTAGGTGCTGATATGTAGTGTGCAGGGTCAAGCTTGTAATTTTCCAAGCAAGTTCTCCTGAAGTTTTCGAATACATCTGCTAGAAGAAGAACGTCAGTTTCCAGGTAGAGATCGTGGTAGTCTCTCATGGTTTTCATCTTAAAGTGATCCCATACTTTTAGCGCTCTTTGGTAATCTTCTTCTTTCACCTCCGACTCATATAGAGATGAGTAGAATTTGTCTCTGCTTGGAAGACCCTCAACATTAAGTTTACTAATGTCATCCAAATATTCATATGGAAATATACCTTTTTGTGTCACAAGTTTGAAGTCCTCACCAGTCCACCTCTTACCAACTATCCTGAAGTCTTCAGGTGAAAGGTTACTCACAAGTGCTTCCAAAGAAGAAGCCATGAACTGTATCGAGTCAATGAACACAAGACTTTTACCCAGTGAGAAGGAAATATATTTTTCCATATTATTTGGGACAACGTTGATGTTCATCTTGAACTTTCCAATCTCCTGCATTATCAGATGGCTATCGTAACCTCTTAGGTTGTGGAAAACCACCGGAACTTTCCATGTGATTCTATACTTCAGATTACACATATTATGGGCAGCTCCACGATACATTCCAGTTACATGATCGTGATCTCTCACTCTATCGTCACCTAAGTCATTACCACATATGGAGCAGTTTCTTGTCATCCAGAACTCAGCTTCTTGCTCTGGTGTAATTACCATCTTTTTCTTGAATATTTTGTTTACCATCTCCCGGCACTTAATAGACTCCTTCAATACTGTCTTCAGAAAGACATTCGTGGCGTCCTCACCAACGTAACTTATGTATTCACCAGAGTACTGATCATCATAATGACACACTGTTTTCAACCCAAAACTACAGGCTTTGTGTGTTTGGTAAAGGTCTGTAGTACTCTTTTCCTCAGAGCTTTCAGGATCAACTTTTCTCTCTTCGGGAACCAGTATGGACTCGAAGTCGGCGTATATTACAAATGGTGCAGGCATTGAGTTCCTGTGATTTTTGAACTTTATTTTTGTACCCTTACTCGGAAGCTTTGTGGCTTGAGTTCCGTTTACCTCGAGACATGTCTCCCTATGTTTCTCCAGTGACTCCTTACTTACGCAGCTATGAAGGCAATACAGACAGAAGTGTTTTAAAAAGAACAAAACAATAGACACTCCGAATATAGTTAACATTTTATTCAACGTTTCGACTAGGTTTCAGTCATCATCAGGAATGACGCTATTGAAAAATACTGAGATATATATTTACAAGTTAAGCGGATCAAATTACGCGCTAATTAAATATCACAAGTTCCTTAGAGGCTCTAGTTCCGTGATTAAGTTCCGGTTTTTGGCGATGTATAAGTAAGGTGTCTATTGTTTTGTTCTTTTTAAAATTACTCAATGGCAACCGTAATTTACAGAAGTGTTTCTTGTACGAGTTTCCACTTACACTGAAGAGCATTCTGTTCACATCCTTTATTAGAACGTAGTGGTTGTTACCATCACCGTCACCTAAGAGTAGCAGCTCCATATGCTCGTCGTATTTTGTCTTGGAGTTTCTTATTGGGTAGAACTGCTTTTTACCCTTATAGCCGAACACTGATATGCTTATACAGTTTCTTCTCTCGATTTTGTCAATATCGCTTATTTTCACAGGGAAGTCTATTCCCTCGTAGTCTAGGTTTTCCGAGAACTCAACATCCTGTCGTGTTATAGTAGTTGCTCTCCTGACCTTTGGTCTCACGTGTCTCACATGACTCCAGATGAAACATTTGTTATCTTCATTTTTCATATTAATGAGACCACATTTTGGATTACTAATGTCTGCGGGTAATTTCATATATGAACTACCCTTTAGAGGTTTATACATTGCAATGTTAACGTAGTGGCTTTCAATATTTAGTATAATCCAGTTTGAACCTAGGTTTTGGAATGTTTCGATTCTAGATAGGATTGTCAGCTGGTTTTGTGCCGCAGTGCTTTCGATATCCTCAAAGTTGGTCGCAGTTCCAGTTTTCGACTTGAAGTATATTGAATCCTTCTTTGTTTTGTCATTACCGATTTCCTTCGACATTCTCACCTTGATTGTTTCTGTATATTTTAGACCTCCCATTCTCTTCAACTCATTCACTAGTATTCCCCTCACCACCTGCCTACTTGCTGTCATCTGGTCCAGTGGGTCCGTATAGTTTGGAGTTATTGAGTAGGTCACAGCTGCTCCATTTGCGGCAGTTTCTATTTTCCTATAGGATGGCTTATTGAGGTATGTTCCAAATGGATCGATTTCATGTTCCTCAGGTGTAACCACCACAGGCTGCTCCGCAACTTCCCTAGTCACCCTTACAGGCTTTCGTAACTTTGGAGGAGGCACTGGTTTTTTAGTCCTTGGCTTAGGAACAGGCCTTTCCTTAGGAATTTTAGTCCTTGGCTTAGGAACAGGTTTTTCCTTAGGAAGAACAGTTCTAGGCTTAGGAACTGGTCTCTCTCTAGGTTTCCATGGAGTCACACCTTTTGGCACCTCAGGAGCTTTCCTTGTAGGTTTTCTGCTGAGGTCCACTGTCACCGTGAACTTATTTGGTCCCACCTGTGTTATGACACTGTCCGTAGGAACCGAGAGTTTTATCCGACCCTGGCTTATGAACCTTTCTGCGACAGTCTGTCTTCTAACCTTAGGTTTCGGTGTTTCGACTACCCTAGCCTTTGGTGGCCTACTTCTCCTCTTAGGAACCGTAACTTCTTGAGTTTCAACCACCTTAGCCTTTGGTGGTCTACCTCTCCTTTTGGCAACCTTAACTTCTTTGGTTTCGGCTACCGCGGTCTTTAGTGGTCTACCCCTTCTTTTGGGGGTTACTTCACCGTCAACCTTGACCTTTAGTGGTCTACCTCTAGGACGCTTGGGATTCCTAAGGTTTTCGAGCCTCTTCATCTCCGCGTTTACCTGAGGATCGTCCGTTCTCCATCTACCTCCCATTGTTGGTGGTAGACCTTCAACTCCTCTACTTAGTAAGCTCTGATATGCCTCCTCGACTAGTAAAGCCTTTGCCTTCTGCCTCTCGGAATATTTCCATGTTGGCATTATTCCTCTCTTACCCTTGTAGTTCAGTGGAAGTCTTCTCGGCCTCTTGGGATCGGTAGCTCTATCACCTTCATCAATGAACAGTTTCTCTTCCGCGTGTACGTTCTCACCCTTATCCTTAGGTGCAACACGGTAGAACTTATCCTCCGAGATTTTCTCCACTTCATCCTCAAGATTTCCTTCATAGTCGCTGTCATCGATTATCTCACTAAGTGCCATAAGTTGTTCAACGGTCATATCGTTCATGTCAAAGTTGTTCGCCATTTTTCACTCTTTCTCTATATACTATAGGTAAAAAAAAATAGCCCCAATTAAGGGGCTATTTAATTCATTAATTTATTTAACATTTAATTTAATATTTAATTTAATAATTTTATATTTTATTTAATTTAATAATTTAATATTTTATTTAATTTAATAATTTTATATTTTATTTAATTTATATTTTATTCTTTAATTTCCAGTTATTATAATACTTACAATTTATAAGTTTCCATCCCAACTCGGGGAAGACTTTGCCGTACAACCTATTCTCAAGGATGTCCACAATTCTTTTGGTCTTAATGTCCTCAGGAGGGTTTCTTAACGTGATGTTGTTCATGCTGGCTATCCTTAGTAGGTAAAACTTATATCTAACTATGTTGCGCCCCCGTTGCAGTCTAAGTCTTTGTATACATCTTACGATGCTTCTAAACTGCTCCCGTATGGTATCCCTATCCCCTGAAGCAACATGCTCTAATAGGTGTCTCTCGAACCAACGGACTCTGTTATGACAAGACTTCTTTTTCAGGTAGTCGTCCTTGTTGTGGTTGTAACTAACATAGTATGTAAAGCCATTCCTGTCACTTGTACCACATTGTGTGCATACATCTGCTCCATCTATTATTACAATAGACTTACTACCACATTCGGCACATTCCGGTTCGTATGTATGTACAACCTTCATTTTACCTCTCACGTATTTCATTACTGCGGCCTCCAGCTCCTCAATGTTTTTTGCTTTCCTACCGACTCTTTCCATTTCATCAGGTGTTACCAGTGTCAGCCAGTCCATTCCCTATACTATATGTGTTAAAATATTCTGCTTGTTTATGTTGTCTGTTTTTACGTCTTCTTATTATTCTCAGTTCTACATATTTTTTAACCGCGGCCTCCAACTCCTCTATAGTGTCTACCCTTTTACCAAGGGCTATTACCTCGTCAACGTCTACCATTGCAAAGCCAGTCCATTTCTCTACAATATATGTGTAAAAATTTATTGCCGTATTAAATTAATATTTTTACAGTATTAAATAAGCTGCCCCTCCAACCACCCCACCCATAATTAAACCAAATATTGCCATATATTCTTCCATCTCTGAGCTAGGTTTGTAGTGGTTACTTAGTTGCGGCTTTCTTGGCATAGCTCTGTGTGTTAGCTCGTTGATTCTCCTGATGAGTTCCAATGCCTTATTTGTTGAATTAATATCCCTATTTGCCTCACCTAGCTCGGCCTTAAGTTGCGCAAGTCTGTTTCTTCTATCGGTGACTTCTTCAAGGTACTTCTCTCTTTCAGCTGTTAGGTTCTCCATTGCAATGTTGTGTCTGTGG